GATTAAAAAGTTAAACTATAATAATTAAGACTTTCTTTTTTTGCTTGTCTTATTTTTACAGCCTTCATTATTTTCTTCCTCATTATTACTATTATTTAATGGAATAAAAATTTTGAGCCCTTTTAAATTATGTTTCCTATTACTTTTGCAGAATTCACATAATGGATATATTGTTTTCCATTCAGCTTTTAGCATATCTGAGGCAGGGAGGAAAATTCGATATGCGCTTGTGCAGTCCGCACATAAAAATTTTTTTGCGCACAAAAAAATATAATATTGTGCGCAAAGCCACGTAATTTTTTAATAATAATTTTAAAATAATATGTGCAATATAGTTAACCCTGTTTTCTGTAGCAAACTTTGTGCACACTATTAAAATTTGGTGCACAATGCGCACTAAATTTTGACTCCGAATTTTTCTCCCTGATCTGAGGGTTCTATAAGATCTTTGGATTCTCCACACCAATAGCATATATTAAATTTTTTAAGTTGCCATGAAAAATATGTTGACTCAATAGAAAAATCGCAGGTAAGATTTAATCTAACACTTATTTGACTAAAAATCTCATGATTTTCTGGCAATAATTGTAATTCACATGTATAGTATAAATTATCAAGAGCAAATTGAAGCTTGGCTTCTTTAGCAGTTGTTAAATTAGCATTACTATAAATACATTGCATTTTGCTACAATGTTTACATAAAATTATATATTGAATTTTTGAATTAATAAATTGGCCTGGTTTTTTTTATTTGTTCCTCATTAGCTATTACATTTATAGCAGATGGACAAAATCTTTATGATATTGGTTGACTATAAATTGTATCAAAATCTTTATAGTGTTTTTGATTTAATAAAATTAATAAATTAATGTAAATATTTTAATAGTATAAAATTTAAATAGATAATTACTATTTTCTAATAGTTCAGGATCTGGAATAAAAAATAAAGTCTGAAAATCTTCTTGTAACATTCAATTTTTTACATATTTTACATTATTTTGATTATATTTTATTCTATATGAGTGTCACTAAAAGAAAACCCAACAATTTAAATATAGTCATATTTAAATTGTTAGTTTTCTTTTGGCAACACTTATATATAAAATTAATATGTAATTTTTTTTTTTATTACTTCAGCAGTTATGCCTTTACTTTATTAGATATAAATAAACAAACTACACAGTCTATTGATTTTACCAAACCAATTGGCCTGGTCATCTAAGTTACAAGTGTCAGCTAACCTGGTTACATCAAGTGCACCTATATTCAACCTGCTATAGTAGAGTTTATCTCCTTACTTATTGCCTTTGCAAACAAAGTAAATAAGTATATCAATAAATGGTTTCTACAGCCTGTCATGACTATAATCCCTCCTCTTCTAATTATCAAGCAAGAAGATTTCATAATTCTTGTCTAGAGAATGACAAGTAACTAAAAAAAACCAAACTAAAAAAAGGATAGAAAAAAAAAGAGAAAAAGCTACACAGCCTAAACAAAAACAAAAAACAAAAAAACAAAGAAAAAAAAAAACAAAAAGAAAAAAAAAGCAAAGAAAAAAACAGAAACATAACAATTCTATTTGTGCCAGTGCAGAGCTTAAAAAATTATTTAATACTTCGTAAAACAATTCTCATCTTGCTGGGGTTAGGGTCTCGTAGCCTAGTGGTCTAGGTGCCTAACCCTCCACAGATGAGATTGACAGTTTGATTCTAGCTGGTGGTAATTAAGGATAATTAATTATCTCTGTAACCTACAAGAGCTTTCGAATGCAGTATCCTGTGGTAGTAAGACCATGTGATAGTACTTATTTGGCTGATAAAAAATTCTTAGAAGGAGTCCCGAGCTGTAGAGAAGACTGGGTACTGCATATGACATAGGTCACAAAAGGTAATACTGCAGAAAGATATGCGTGTAAATCCATGATTGGCAAGATAGCACCAACAACCCTAAGCTGATATTGGGATCTTAATTGGAAGAACAGCCATATGTGATATACCAAAAGTGGTGAGAGAAGCAGCGAATACAGTAAGAGGCTGTGGTAAAAGAATAGCTTTACCAAATAAAGAAACACCTCTGGTGTATAGAAACAATAAAAACCAGAATGTATAGCAAGCATCTTAGTAGTATAAAAAGAAATTCAGCTAGTGGGTAATAGTCGCACAACTAGCATAGAAGTCATATGACGAAGCATAACAGGAGTACTGGGTCCTGGAGTACTGAATTGTGGCAGTACTTAAAAGAGATTTCCAACTCCCATCCTAAGGTTTAGGCTTCTGTAATACTATGAGTAATAGTAGTACTATAAACAAAATAGTTGCCTGAATTGGCAGTGTAGAACATGAATGCCCAGAAGTACAAGTAGGAAACTGCAACACCATGGAGAACCTGAGATATCTATAATATACTTACAGATTGTCTTTTGGAGACACCAAACTAGAAGTACCAATAACACCCACCTCTAGAACACCAATTTGAAAGTAATACAAGAAGTGGTTTAGGAGTAATACTATATATGGAAAAGATGAGATAATTGGTAGAATTTGTATAGTAGTATATATGCGGGATATATTTAAATTATCTATACATTTGCTATTTATCTAACTTACACTATAATACATTTTTGTTATACTATTTATCATTTCTCTAATAGGTATATCAACAATATGACCATCCCACCTCAGTACTACCTTCTTTAACTTGGACCATTCTACCCTAAAACTACAACACTCCTTAAAACTATTACTCTTCTTCGCTAGCCTATCAGCTGCCTTATTTAATTTAACCCCACTATGACTTTTTATCTTTACGAAGCTAATATTAATATCTTTAATCTCAACCAAATTTATCACCATTGCAATGATACTCCCATTCTTGAGCTTAGTGGTTTTTGTTTCATTTGGACTAGCTTTAACCTTTTCAATAACACTGATTGCATTTGCACTATCTGTAAAAATCTGTACTTTGCACTTGTTCAATACCACTAATAATGCAAGCCCTATAGCACCTATTTCTGCTCTCATTGAAGACCAATTTTTTATCGCACTTGCAAACTGCTCCAGTACTGCTTCTGTGCCCTTTTTGGCTGTAACCCAACCTATACCTATTTTCTTTGGCTCTCAGTTTCTACTATCCCCATCTAAGGAGCCATCTGTAAAGATGTCTAATTCTGCATAACTAGCCAGTTTCTGCAGTGACTTCTGGGTTTTTTCCCTATATTCCTGTTCCACTATATATCTGTCAATTAAATCTTCTTCTAGATTCTTGATCATTACTGTAAGGCTTGACAATTAGATGGGTATATTTGTTTGTATGTTGGCTCTTTTGCTAAAATTTGCTAGAGACACCTCGCACAGGATTTTATTTTCTCTTGCTTTTTAATACAGTTTTTCTTTAATACTCTTTGTTTATTTTTTAGATTTAAACCTAACTTGCATTCATTGGGCTTCTGCATGTTAGATAAACTACAACCTTGTCATTTGTCGTAAATGTTTTTATTTTCTTTCTCTCTTTTCCAATGAGTTACTTCTACTTTTTGTTTACCTCTACTTTTTTTAACCACCTGGCCCAATTCTGTTGTGTCTTTTTCATTCAATAATATGACCCATTCTGCTTTTCTTTTATCTTCGGATACCTGCTGAAATAAGGGCAATAAAGCTACTTGACTCTCCCTTCCATACTTATATCTTGTATATACCTCTCTTGTTATCTGGTTATTAATCACTGCACCCTCGATGCTAATAAACCATGAGGGCTTCTTTCTTTTGCCCTTATTTCCTCTTAAAAATTTCACTTAGCACCAGGTTAAAAGTATTGATCCCTCTTCTTCAAGCAATTGTTTTATGAACATAATATTGTTCAACTTGCTTTTTATATACTGTTTTCTTTCAATCTTGCTTAATATAGACCAGGTTTCTGTTCCTTCACCTAAGTGCATACTTCTTGTCACTTCACTGTATTCCAGTTCTATACCTAATTTTATGGCATCTTTAACTATATTTGCATTAAAATTATGCTTTATTTCTGCCTCATTCAGCTGTTTAGCGGACCACACGATTATGCATTTGCTGCTTCTGTTATCGATCTGCGCCTGTCTTAGTCTAATCCAGGTTATATTACCTACTGACTCTATACTATTTAGTCTTTTAACTAAACTAAAAACTTGTTGTGCAACCTTTGCTTGCCACAAGCCTTTAACCTCTACCAAATTTGAGTACATAATGATACTATTAGCCGTAGTACTTGCTAAACCTGCTTTTTGTTTAAGTAAGTTGAGAAAGGGTCTATGGATTCTGTTACAAGCTTGCTTGTTTACTACTTGGCATTTTAGTCGATATTCTAATCTTGGTAATAATACTCTATTGTTTATGTATTGCAGGTGCCCCAACGATACTTTCTTCTTTCTTAAGATTCTTACTAACCCAGTGACCTCTCTTTCTACTAGGCCTGTACTACAATTTTTCTTATTTTTCTCTGAGATCCACACACCTAAGAATCTGGCTGCTTCATCATTTCTTTTCGCTTTTATCTTCATGGCTTATAGCCCCATTAATTACAATAAGTTCTGATTTCTTTTTGTTTATCTTAATGTCATTTAGTTTATAGAATTCATTAGCCTTCTTTAGAATTTCTAACAACTCTGTTTTGGATTTTGCAATCCAAGTCGTGTTATCAGTATATGCCACAATAGCTTGTCTTTGTTTTATCCAAGTGATCTCTCCTTTTTTTAGGTCTGTGGGCCATGGCAGGACCCCGGACATCTCTCATATAGGTCATACTTGCACTTTAGCAAAAAGTCAAAAATTTGGCCTAAAGTCCAATTTTTAGTTTTAGCAAATTAATAATAATTTTAATAATAGGTTATAATTTAGCATTTTGTCAAAATTACATCAATTT